AGAATCGCGGAAGCTCCTCTAGCAGCTGTCAATGAGACAGCCACCAGAGGCTGGATTAACCCTCAGTGAAACATAGCCGTTTCTCTGAAACGGCTATGTTTTCAGCTGCAGGGTTAAAACTAGAGGGACCTGGCACCCAGATCACTTCATTGAGCTGATGTGATCTGGGTGTCTGTAGTGGTCCTTTAAGTGTGTATGCATACCGCGGTCGCGGAGTTGCAGCCCTGCAACCCCTGCGACCAGGTGCCCGCCGCCATGTGTTGCGGCCCCGACCTGTGCCGAGTAAGCGCGGGGGGGGGGGCCCACGGATCAATTTTCGCACCGGGGCCCCATGGGTCATGTGTACGCCACTGGGAACTATGCAAGTATCCCTGTGGCAACCTGGTGAATTTGTATTGCCTCCCTAACCATGTGAAAGCAAACTGCTCTTGATTTTCTTCAGCTATTGGAATAGTGAAGAAGGCATTAGCCAAATCTATAACTGCATACCAGATCCCTGGATGCTTCTGTATATTTTCTATAAGAGTGACGGTGTCTGGGACAGCAGCTGTCAGTGGAGGTGTGTTTGATCAATTCTCGGTAGTCTACCGTCATTCTCCATGTACGGTCTGTTTTACGTATTGGCCAAACGGGATTGTTCCAAGCAGTAGTGACCCCAGCTTTTAGTAAGTCATCTATGGTTTCTCCAATTTTTTTGTGGTCTCCTGGGAACCTGTACTGCTTCATATGTACTACTTTAGAAGCGGGTGGTAGTTGCACTGGGGGCATTAACAATTTCCCTACCACCACTAGTCTGGCTGATATATAGGGTTTAGTTCCAAAACTGTAACAGCCATCCCCCAAATGTAAGGTCAATCCTTTAAGGATATCAATTCCAATTATGTATTCGGGACAATTAAAACCGAATACTTCCTTTTTGGCAACTGTCCAATTTTCAGTTCTACCCAGGTCTGGACTGCTTGTGTCCTTTTACCTCCCAGACCTGTGATTACATAGGGTAATCCAGCAAATTTCTTAGGGTTACCATGAATTAAAGTGGCTTCGGCTCCAGTGTCCACAAGGGCATTAACCCTTTCAACATTTTTATTTTTCCAGTAAATTTCAACTTTTACATGGGGTCTATGGTGTTTTACTGAAAAGTTAATTACTGGAGCCTGCCTCACTAGTCAATTCCTATTGTCTAGGTCTGTCAAATCCAAGTCTCCCAGGTCAGGCAATTCCCTGTGTGCATATTCGTCAAGTGTTTTAAGTATTACCCAACCTCTTTTCTGCCACTTATCTTTGGGAATCTTTTTCAGACAAGCAAGAAGGTTAGTAGGCATGTCAATTTCACTTTTTTCACATTCATGATGACATTTACCAGCTGAACGGGCCCATTCACTGGCAATGGATGCATATGGCTCATCCTCCCATCCAGGAATAATGGCGTAATCACCCTGTTTCTTATTCTTTTTAAACATTGTGCAAAGCTCTTATGATTTTTTTCAGAATAAACTTGCACTCCTTGAAGATGTGTTCTATGTGTTTTATTTAACTTCACTTGAATATGTACTAATCCAGACACCTAGTGTCTGGCTTATTGTTTTATTCTTTATTTAATAAACTTGCACTCCTTGGGGATGTGTGTTCTATGTGTTTTATTTAATTTCACTTGAAAATGTACTAATCCAAACACCTAGTGTCTGGCTTATTGTTTTATTTTTCACTCGAGCCTGCCCAGATGACTAATCTGGCTGCAGGTTTGCGCTCCCCGATCACACTGGCTTTCTACACACTCCGTAAAGTGCATAGGGGCGTCTATGATTGAGCCAACAGTCTCGCACTTTCAGGAACAGCCGTCTCATTCACTTCCTCATTCAGCTCTGGCTTCCATCACCTGTTAAGGCGTGTAGGGGCACTTGTTAACTGACCAAGCACAATTACCCATTCGTGTCAGAATCACCCCAAACAATCTTGTGGTTTTGGTGACCTTATCTCAATACCTGGTATTGAGCTTATTAAATTAGCAGCAATTCAGCCTCATTCAGGACGCTAGCCTGTTTGAGGGTAACGCTCCCCAGAAGGCACTGGCGTTCTACACACCTTTAAGATGTATAGGTGCGTCTACCAACTGAGCACAACATACATTCTTGAATCAATTTTCAGAAGCACTCCTCAATCTTATTAGATTGAGCATTCACTCACCAATCTTGCTCTTGCAACGTCATGTAACTATTTTCAAGTTTACACAATGTTCAAAGAATCTCTAGAAACCGTAATGTTTGTTATCTACGACTGCAGCGCTCGGAAGAAACTGATCACTTTTAAAAAGCTTTTTTCCTCCGTGACGCAGCAGAAATTAAACCTCGTACAATGTTAGTTTCACTTTCCCTTTTACTCAAGATTTACATTGACAGTTCTAACAATTTCTAAACACAATTTTCTTATCTTAACTATTCTTAACAATGTTTTAAACACACTATTATTATTTTAAACTATTTTAATTTGTTGCTTTCAAGTTTCCTTGCTCAATTAATACTCAACCCTTCTCGCAGCGACAAAATGTTGTGCCTAATCATTAAATTCATGAAGCCCCAATATCCAAAAAGTAATAATCAATACCTAATAAGGTTTATAGTGATATTGGCGGGCACACAACCCAGTTCGGATAGAGTACATTGAGTTATAGGAAAGAGAAATCACACAGAGACCAAGTTGAATATAAGAATTCACACTACACTTTATTATCCACAAAGGGATCTAAGCAAAGTAAGTTTTACTCTCATTTAAGTAGTTGCATGCATTTACTTCAAACAGCTTAGTATCTAGATATATCAGCATATGTATACATCACCATTAGAGAAGCTTGGTTGTCTCCTTGCCACACATGACTGGGGGGAACTCAGGCAGTAACTCGGAGAGACCCTCTTTTCTGGGAACAGCAGAAACCAGTAACACGCGTCCGTATTACAGGTGGGTAGTTCTCCAAGGGAGCGCAAGATTCCCTTAGTCTTATATACCTATCTTCAAGGACAGTCAGTAGTTCCTTATCAGTGCAGCCCAGCAAAAGACCTTGATACAAGCAGCTGGATGGACCTGGCAGTTGGCCAGACTGCTCAGGACCACCAGAACTTATGCCAAGTCTTGTGCGGTTAATTATCTCTTATCTACAATCTTTCTTTGTACTGTTCTTGAGATGGCAACATAAGTTTTTGGTGGCAACATAAGTTTCTCAAACTGCTGAAGTGCTGTGTCAGCTTATAGTGCTGTGTCAGCGTAGTAAACAGCTGTAGTGCTGTGTCAGCTCTTAATAGCTGTGGCATAAAGCCTTCAAGCCTGCATCTAGTAATTGTGGCCTTCAAGCCTGCATCTAGTAATATGTGCTATGTGTGCTTATATGCTTACCGGTGCCATCTTAACTATCTACAAATGTTTGAGTTGCTCAATAGTGATCAATCATACTTAATTAATATGAAATATTATCACAAATGGTTATATATATATAAAAACATTAGGACATCAGAAGGGGGATTAATGGGGGAAGCTGCAATTGTCTCCTCAGAAACCACAGAATGTCACAAGTCATGATTTTATGCTTACTTGTGCTTATTTGTCAGAAACTCAAAACTAGTCTAAAAATTAAAAAGCAGAACATACGAAGTAAAGACTGGACAACTGGTCATCTTAAAAGCTTTTGGGTTTAGCGGTGTCTTGGTACACCCCTACCATTTAATCTGGTGGAAATGTGGTCATATTGGATGGCCAGTTTCTGTGTCAATATGTTAATTAGATTGTGATTTATTGTTATTATTGTGGAGTCATTGCCAGGGGTGTGTTATGTATAGGGGGGAGGGGATGTTGGCTCTAATAATATTTGTTGGCAATGACCCTATTTGTTATTCCTTAATTAATAAAGCTGTGGACTAATATTTCCAACAGTATAACCTGTGTCCGTGTCTTAATGGGATTTGGAGTAAGGTTAGCGCATATGCCGGTAAATCCAACTGTGCGCCTGTCATGTATATACAAGTTTATATTTTATTTCCTTAACCACATGTATAGGCCCAAGTTTGGGCCTGACATAGATTTAGACAGTCAGATGCAACACCTAACCACATAATTACTAAACAATGAAGGCTCAAAAAGTGCATGAATACCCAGGACAGTCAAAACAACTTTAAAATGTAGAGTGAAACATTAAATTGCAGGGTGAATACAATGGAGTTTTCTTAAACACACTCATGGAAGTAATGAATACGGACGTGGGATGATGTGACCGTGCTAGTACGGGTGCGTCTGGCTGCAGGGAACCCGACAGCAAATGCTGAATGCTCTAACCCTTCCCCTCCTCCTTGTGGAATACCTGCCCTCGGAAGATACCGATGGTGCCGACATAGAAACTGTATTAGAGACGCGGAGATTGCTCACGGGCAGCCGCCTCCCCACGCCGCTGTTTGACTGACTGCAGTGGAGCCCCAGCTGGGGAAAAGTGAGGGTTCAATACCGACACATTGTGGTTGAGGGCCCCTCCGGAGGATATACAACCCCACACATGTGGTCTTCAATGGTGGCAATACGAAGGGGACAAGCCGGCTGTGTAGTGATAACAGGAGGAGAAGCCTAATTGAAGCTTATTGAAATTCAACCTGAAGCCGATATAGATAAGTTAGAATTGAAACACTGTATTGGTGAAATATGTAGCTGCATTAGACAGACTGAAATTGTGTAGGGGAGACTGCAGACCAAACTAAATACTGTGGATACTTTGTGGATAACATTGAACTTAAATTGAATTTAAATTGAATATTTCCTATGAATCACCGAATAAAAAACATTTGGTAAGGGCGTGGTCGGGACACTGAAGGGAGCAGATGCATGCCGGACGAGCTCCCGCTATACACACGGCAAATATACGCAAAACTTTGATTTCTTACCCTCACACAACTCTAGCCACATCAGCTAGAACCCCGGCTGGGGTACCTCAGGATGTGATGATATGCTTCCTCATGCTCCAAGAGAAGATGGCGGTCCAACGTGAGACTAGAAACAATGCACCTTACCACTTTGAAGAGATGCAGCTACATTTCCTGCAGGATTTATGCTGCTCCACCGTGACCTGGAGAAAATCCCTCCAATGTGTCACACAAGCACTGAGATCGGCAGGAATTGCCTACAAATGGGGGCCCTCACGAACCCTAATAGCCACGAAGGACAGCCACAACCACACTATCTCCTGCAAAAGCTGGGTATAGCTCGGCCTGAGACAACCAACTTGGGACACAGACACCTGGGATGTTTCCAGGATTGTTCGGTTTACCCCCCGAGCTGGGACCGACACCGGCTGAAACCACAAAGGACACCTGGTACCTGGTGGCGAGAAAGTTGCAGACCAAGAACCGCATAGTAGTACCCTATGGTTGCGCATATGTTCTAGCACATGTTGTAGTTTAGTTTTACTCTGAACCCTTCAGTTAATCGTTCACTCCCGACAGTGCCAAACCGGACTCTATAACACCTTAGCCGGCAGCCTTCCTCCCCTCCCCCCACCACGCTCAGGGGTTATTGAGCGACACTTTACAATATATATAGCATTCATTAACACCCATACGACCAAGAGTGACCAATTTCATGTCGTATTTTATCAACATATATTCGCCTTAAATGCTCTTAAAGTCATATATTATCAGCATATATACTCCTTAAATGTTTCTAAAGTCATGTAATATCAGCATTGGTACTCCTTAACTGTTCTTAAAGTCGTACATTCTCAGCATATATAATCCTTAAATGTTTCTAAATCATGTATTATAAGCAAATGTACTCCTTAAATGTTCTTAAAGTCGTACATTATCAGCATATATAATCTTTAAATGTTCTCAAAACCATATGTTATCAGCATATATAATCCTCAAATGATCTTAAAGTCATATATTATCAGCATGTATAATCCTTTAATGTTTTCTAACAAAAAACGGTGCAGCTTATTGTAACATGTTACGGGACCTTTTTACTCAAAAACGAAAACAAAGTTATTTATAACATGTCAATGCAAGAATCTGTTATTATTTGCACCACAAAAATAAAGAATTAAAAAAAAAACATTTTGGAAGGATAGTCACCCATAAAAAGATAAGAATGGAAGGGAGAGAGAAGAGAAGAGAAAAGGAAGGAGGGAAAGGAGGATGTGAGAAAAATTAGCAGATATCTGTTGAACAAATCATCACATTGAAACAAAAAAAACTTAAAAAAGAACAGACCTGTCTATATTGAAGCAACGTCTCTAAATACACCCTATAGTGCCCTTAAGATAAAGAGAGCTAACTTCGAATACAGAACTTTATATTAATTACCACCATAAAGACTGAGAGGAAAGGAAGAAGCTAGAGAGGAAAGAAGACTCAATAGAGAGAGAGAAGGAGAGAAAGAGAGAAGAAGGGAAATTCATCAATACGAATTTTATAATTTTTAATTTTTTTTAAACTTGGACTGAAATTGGACTGAACCCTATAGCTTTACATATAAACATACCTTCACGCAACAATAGGCAAACAGCTGGGGGTCCATATATATCCCAAAAATAGAGTTTGGGGAAAGCGTATTTTTCTGTTTTTTTTTCTCTCTCCCCCTCTTTCTTATTGGGTTTAAAGGGGCTTTCAAACATTGTAGAAAATACTTTCTTATTAAACATAAAAAAGATTGGAGTGAAGAAAAGCAGGGGGAAGAGAAAGGGAAAGAAAGATTGCCAGCAAAGAAAAAAACGAAGAACCGAACTAAGAAAGATAGGGAAAGATTAGAAAAGGAACATCAAAATAGGAAAGATAAAAACCTCTCAGGTTACTTTTCACCTAGTGCCCAAAGACACATCCAAAATTCTTACAGACTGAATGAAGGGTGAAGCAGGTACAAAACAGGCAAAATGCAGGTAGCGTAGTTACAACCCCTTCCTCCCAAGAACTAGACGACACATAGCTCGGAGGTCAACTGAGGTTTTTAATTACAGGCACAGTATCTATGTGGTTACAAATGTACAGGGTTTCCCAAGTCACAATGCAGGGTTTGTCCAGTAGGGGACTACATGGGGGACTGAGTTTTACACACATAATACCCATCATACATTGCTGTACCAAGGAGATAATTATCCCAGAATGCATTGCTAATGGGATTATCCCTTGGTACAGAGGGACAGAGTTTTTACATTAAAATCCATAACCAGCATAATATTTGGGCTAGACAGTTCGTTCACCCTTTATTACATAGCTGGGACCTGGGCTCACAGTTAAGTGAACTTGCGCCCAGATCCCAGCACATATAACCGAACACCGTTCAGTTTCCCTCATCTCAGGACCCATTCGTTTAACCGATTGCTTGAACTTAGGGAATGAAAGTGACGAAAACGGTAAACTCCCGAACGGCTCGGAAGTCCAGCGAGGCTTGTGTTGCCGAGTAGCCAATTTTAGTTCCAGACACTCGACAACAAAACCCCGCTGGCTTTCCGCGAACAAGATGGTCGCCGCCTCCTGTTCGGTACGCGAATGTCAGCCACCCGCAACAAACCGCAATTAACACAGATACAATGTTGCAAAGTACCTAATTAGAGACACACGACCTGCTACGGGTGGTCTCCCATGCGGTGCTTTGCTTATTCCACGAACAGTGTGGTGATTCACTGTTCGTGGATAACTATGCTTAACATTAGTGGTATTCGTGTGCTGTAACACACGAATGCCGCGTACATTACAAGATATAGGGAATATCAGAAGCAATATACAGTTCGGTTTAAAGATGCAGTTTGGATCTATAAGTGGCTAGATCTGCCACAGTAACCATATCGGCTGATAAGAAGAGGGGAAATATGCCAGTATACAAACTTTCAAAAGAGACACAAATTTATTGTCTGAATTAACGATCCTAAATAATTTAACTAACTGGCTTGATAACTTACTTTGGGAGCTAAAAGCTCTGTCGAGGAAGTACATCAGAGTATGTTACTTATTACCCAATTTAATGGTGCTTATTTTGCCTACCTTTAGAAGGATGAGTCAACCCTGCTGGGAGCTGAAACTGCAACGCCCAAGGGTTGAACAGATTATGCTAGTGATAAATTAGCCCACTGAGCTAACTCACTGGATATAGCTTGACTTCTTATATTGGGATAACCAGGGAACCCCTGGCACAATAGATACAGCACATTGTAGTGGTTATACTGCTTGCAGTGTTCCTTTAACCCCTTAAGGACCAAACTTCTGGAATAAAAGGGAATCATGACATGTCACACATGTCATGTGTCCTTATGGGGTTAAAGCAATGCTATTAAACTCACGTATGGTTTATATAGTTAAATAGCTCTCTACCACAGTACTAATAAAAAAAAATACTGACCAGGTTATTCACTAAAGTGAGAATTCAAAGTGAATTTTATTTTTAGGCCAAAGTACTTGATCTGAAATTATAACCGACTTAGAGAATTTTTCCAGTTTGGCTATATTGTAATTCACTTTGAATTCTCACTTTAGTGAATTACACTGTAAGATATAGTACATGTTTTATGGGCCTGTATAACAACTACTATACCAGCAGCTGGAACCCCTTAAAATATCCTATTCTTTAAAGAAAATGCTTGAAATTACGGTGTGCTATAGTGTTATTTCGGCAAAGGATGGTGCACAACCCCTAGAGATGCCATATTTGTATTCTTTATTTTTTGCTAGTTGGATAGAGGAAATTTCAGATTAGAGAACAAAATAAAATCTGAATTAAAGGACCACTATAGTGCCAGGAAAACATACTTGTTTTCCTGGCACTATAGTGCCCTGAGGGTGCCCCCACCCTCAGGGACCCCCTCCCGCCCGGCTCTGGAAGGGGGAAAGGTGTTTAAACTTACCTTTTTCCAGCGCTGGGCGGAGAGCTCTCCTCCTCCTCTCCGCCTCTGTTACGCCCCGCCGGCTGAATGCGCACGCGCGGCAAGAGCTGCGCGCGCATTCAGCCGGTCTCATAGGAAAGCATTTACAATGCTTTCCTATGGACGCTGGCGTGCTCTCACTGTGAAAATCACAGTGAGAAGCACGCAAGCGCCTCTAGTGGCTGTCAATGAGACAGCCACTAGAGGATTAGGGGGAAGGCTTAACCCATTCATAATTATAGCAGTTTCTCTGAAACTGCTATAATTATGAAAAAATGGGTTAACCCTAGAAGGACCTGGCACCCAGACCACTTCATTAAGCTGAAGTGGTCTGGGTGCCTAGAGTGGTCCTTTAAGTATACAGGAAACTGGCTAGCAGACTGCATTTAATTTTATTCACTACACTTTGTGTCACCATGTCGTTTATTCATCACATTTGCATTTCAACATATTGCTGGCATAGTGTATTTTGAGGGGTGTGTTTTATTTAGTCTATTACAGTAGTATTGCTAATTACAGGATAGAAAACTACCCAAACTAATAGACACCCAAACGAAAGGTGGAGAGCAAAATACCTAACACTGTAATCATTTATCTTTAAAGGAACACTATAGTCACCTAAATGACTTTAGCTAAATAAAGCAGTTTTAGTGTATAAATCATTCCCCTGCAATTTTACTGCTCAATTCACTGTCATTTAGGAGTTAAATCACTTTGTTTCTGTTTATGCAGCCCTAGCCACACCTCTCCTGGCTATGATTGACAGAGCCTGCATGAAAAAAAAACTGGTTTCCCTTTCAAACAGATGTCATTTACCTTAAATAATTGTATCTCAATCTCTAAATTGAACTTTAATCACATACAGGAGGCTCTTGCAGGGTCTAACAAGCTATTAACATAGCAGGGGATATGAAAATCTTAATTGTTCAGGTGACAATAGTGTCCCTTTAACAAGTATACTGTAGAAATATACAGTGAGGGGAAAAAAGTATTTGATCCTTTGCTGATTTTGAATGTTTGCCCACTGACAAAGAAATGATCAGTCTTTAATTTTAATGGTAGGTGTATTTTAACAGTGAGAGACAGAATAACAAAACAAAAATCCAGAAAAATGCGTCAAAAAAGTTATAAATTGATTTGCATGTAAATGAGTGAAATTCGTATTTGACCCCTTCGACTTAGTACTTGGTGGCAAATCCCTTGTTAGCAATCACAGACGTCAGACATTTCTTGTAGTTGGCCACCAGGTTTTTACACATCTCAGGAGGGATTTTGTCCCACTCCTCTTTGCAGATCCTCTCCAAGTCATTAAGGTTTTGAAGCTGACGTTTGGCAACTTGAACCTTCAGCTCGCTCCACAGATTTTCTTTGGGATTAAGCTCTGGAGACTGGCTAGAGACTCTGGAGACTGGCCACTCCAGGAACTTAGTGTGCTTCTTCTTGAGTCACTCCTTTGTTGCCTTAGCTGTGTGTTTTTGGTCATTGTCCTGCTGGAATACCCATCC